CTCTTGCCAAGGCTGTCCAATGGAACTTCTGTCAGCTATAGCTTCTATCTCTACACAAAGAAGATGACTCACTGGCCCATGCCGTAAAGGAGAAAGCCGATCTCTCTTTGCGTCCAACTCGACAGGGGAACACAACGCCGATCATCCCGCGGTGTGAGTGATCCATTCTGGATGTGCGGTTTACACAGCGCTTGGTTCTTAAGCACTCCTCTCCCTGGATGCCAAGTCCGAACAAGTTGAGTTGGTCTAATGGAGTCCCTCCCATTGTGCTGAAGACGTGTGCTCCGGAGTTGGTACTGATTTGAACGCATCTTTTCCGGTACCGCAAATCTCAAGGCGTAGTCCCAAATTCATGGAAGACAGCTTTGGTCCAACCGATCCCTAAAAAAGGCCACCGCTTAGACCCATCCAACTACAGGTCTATCACCATCATCACCTTGTTCCCCAAAATAATGGAAGTCCATTATAAACTGCCAGCTCATGAGCTACCTTGAGAATCACCAGCTGATTAGTGACCGCCAATACGGTTTTCTTTGGGGTCGATCAGCTGGTAATCTACCTGACTCATAGATGGGCGGAGGCAGTAGAGTCCAAGGAGGATGCATTGGCTGTTAGTTCGGATATAGCCAAGGCCTTCGATCGGGTCTGGCACAAAGCGCTTTTTCAAAGCTCCCGTCCTATGGGCTTCCCGAGAAATTATGTAATTGGATCACCAGTTCCCTTGCTGATTGAAGCATCCCGGTCGTAGTAGACGGTGACCAACGCTGTTTCTTCTGCATGTCAATGATATGTTGCAAACCGGCACTGGTCATTCCTTATACAGTGGCAGTGCCAATATTTCTCGGGAAAATGTCGCAGAGTACCGGGACAAACTTGTGTCTGAAGTCGAGTCTTTGCTGAAGAAAGTCTCTGATTGGGGGCGACTAAATCTATTCGAGTAATTTTTTTATAGGATAAGGGTGACAAACGAGCACATAGCCTACCTGATGGTAAGTGGTTGCTGTGGCCCATAGACATCTACATCTATCCTCGATTTCGAATTAAAATGCAGATGCGTTGTCACCCGTGAGGACTAAGATGGAATGCCTCGTTTCCAGTAAAAGGGGTCTCCGGTTCTCTACACTCACCATACGAAACACATCAGTGTTAAGCTGCTATTTTACGCTGGTATTCTGTGAGAGCGTGGTCCTACCTCGGCCGAGCCGACCCATTCGTGCTACAACTATACATGAAAGGCCAAATTGGCCTCTAAAAAGCTTGGCGTGCTGAGCAGAACGAGATAATATTCATGCTGGCACATCGCTTGCAACTTTACAAAGCGTAAGTTCTGCCTCACACGAAATACTGTACTCATATCAGGACCGGGGCACCCCAGTGACAGCTTCTTACACTTAATCGCAACCAACGCCGAGCGGTTCGAATCATCGATGACCAAATTCTTTCTGATCGGCTTGATGCACTGGCGCTGCGTAGGGATATTGCATTTCTATCGCATCTACCGCAGGGAGTGCTCTGAGGTATTGTTCGGATCAATTTCAGCCGCCAAATTTCACGAACGCACATCACTTCATAATTCACGATACCATCCTCATAATCTGGATGCTTGGCAGTTCACGACTGTGTGTTTTACTAGGAGTTTTCTTCCTCGTACAACTTCTCTGTGGAATTGTTTACCACTGATGATTTTTCCGGACTGATACGACTTAGGGACCTTCTAGAAAACAGCTTACTCCTTTATAAAAGGCCGGCAATGCACCTGCAATTCCCCTGGTGTTGCGGTTGTTTATGGGCGGCGGTAGTTACTTTACTATCAGGTGAGCCGCATGCCCGTCTGCCCCTTCTTCTATAAAAAAACACATGAAGTCAAAGTCAAAATTTTAATGCAAATTGGCTTCACAGGCAAGTTTTTTTTTTATAGGATAAGGGTGACAAACGAGCACACAGTCCACCTGATGGTAAGTGGTTGCTGCGGCCCATAGACATCTACATCTATCCTCTGTTACAAATCAAAATGTAGATGCGTTGTCACCCGTGAGGACTAAGATGGAATGCCTCATTTCCAGTAAAAAGGGCCTCCGGCCACCTGCACTCACCAAGCGAAATGCAGAGGTAAACCTCTACTTCACGCTGGTTTTCTGTGAGGTCGTGGTACTACCCCGGTTCGAGCCGGCCCATCCGTGCGACAGCAAAAGCTGCCGCGTGGCTCTACCACTGTTAAAAGTATTTTTGAAAGTCAAACGCTACGTCAACGCCTCAATAAGTCCCTACTGCGGGCCAGCTTATAAGAAGAAGCGGCAGAAAACTTAGTATATATTTTTTTCCCAACTGTTACAATTTATCATTGTAATATATTTTTCTTATAGAATAAGAGTGATAAACGAGCACACAGTCCACCTGATGGTCAGTGGATGCATATCTTCAGTTCATCATCATCATCATCATCATTACAGCCCTTTACAAGTCCACTACTGAACATAGGCCTTCCCCAAGGAATGCCACAAAGCACGGTCCTGAAACACCTGCATCTATCGACTTCCTGCATGTCTTACCAGTCTTGTCACTCCATTTAGTGGGGGGTCGCCCTACTCTTCTCCTACCGGTACGAGGCTGCCAGTGGAGAAGCTTTTTTCCCCATCGATTGTCGGTTCTTCAAGCTATATGGCCGGGCCATTGCCACTTCAGCTTACTAATCCGTTGGACTATGTCGGTTACTATGGTTCTACTTCGGGTATCCTCATTCCTAAGTTTATCACGCAGAGAAAACCCTATGGACACTCTCCGGCTATCTACACTCACCATACGAAACACAGCAGTATTAAGCTGATTTTTTATGCTGCGCTGGTATTGTGAGAGCGTGATCCTTCCCCGATCAAGCCGATCCTTTCGTGCTACATGCATAATATATGGCGTGGCTTTACCACGTATAGAAATTAATATATTATTTTTATTTTTTGCACGTGGTAGAGCCATGCTGCAGCTATATTATGGTTGTAGCACGAATGGGTCGGCTCGAACGGGGAAGGACCACGCTCTCACAGAAAACGAGCGTAAAATAGCAGCTTAACGCTGCTGTGTTTCGTATCGTGAGTGTAGAGAACCGGAGACCCTTTTTACTGGCAAAGAGGCATTCCATCTTAGTCCTCACGGGTGACAACGCATCTGCATCTTGAGTTTTTATTGAGGATAGATGTAGATGTCTATGGGTCACAGTAACCACTTACCATCAGGTGGACTGTGCGCTCGTTTGTCACCCGACCCTATAAAAAAAAATATAATTATCTCTTATTTTTTTTTAAAAAACGTTACCCCCAAACTAGGATATTCTCCTGTATCGTGGAGGCAGTTAAAAAACATGAATGCACAAGGACAAACATCCAAACCCAGAACAATTATTTGTAGGCCATAAAAAAAACTTGTTCCGTGCGGGCTTCGAACCCGCGGCCCCCAGCGCAGGAATTCATTGCTAAGCCACTGCGCCACGGAGACGTCAATAATATCCATACGTAAAAAAGTCTATGGAAGCTCACTATGTCTACGCATTCTTATTTTTTAAATAGTCATCTAATTTATTATATCCTTTCTTCATTACAGTAATTTTTACTTGCGCTTTGAATTTATACAAAGGCAAATCTACAGATCTAAATATTACAGGAAACCTATAAATAATTATACATCTACCCAAAAATGAGTCACCAGTTTGACGAATGACACAGCAAGGATAAAAAAATCGTAGATGAAGAATAAAACATCGATGCGAATCAAAACAAACGTCATCGGTTTGGGTCAAGGTCAGAGTCCACAGATGTCTACATACATACCCTTCGTCTACATTCATCTCATCCCCTGTTTAGGGTAACCATAATTAAGGTGGATAGTGGATTTTTAAAGACTTCAAAAAGGCGAAGCTTCTCAAGTCGTCTGTATTTATTCATATATGCATGTTCAGGCGAAACTCCTTTGTTTATGAATCAATTTAAATTATTATATTTTAATATTTAATATATACTTGGGTAACATTTTTGAAATAGTTTGAATAAAAATTTCATCCCAAAAAGTGAAAAAAAATTAGAATTCAATTCTAGTTATAACCTTGAACCTGTGACATTGTACAGATCACACAATAGTGTAAATTAATTTTCACATATTACATTTTGAACTTGAGACTTTGAACTTTAAAATAATCCAAAAAAATTTAGTTTAATTTTAGACATTTCAGTTTGTAATTAGTCATGAATCTTTGTTAGTCATTACAGACGAACGTAGAACGAGTGTATATAAAAAGGGACCTTCTGGACACACTACACTACTTGCATGAACCAACGGCCTTATTCTTGTTCGAGTCCTGTTTTGTGGCGCGATATCGTTTCGAATCGCTGCCAAAATTAATGCAAACTAATCGTGTCCATCAAAAGACTTTTAGTTTTACTTAGTGAGCTTTCCTTCGGTTTTAAGCTTACTTACTCGTAGTATATGACTATGTAACAACGGTGTATTGTTTACCATCTGATCATGAATATTAATATTTTATAATATTTAGTAATATGTTAAAATTTAAGCAATATTTGAAGCTTAAATGGTGAAAATATTTGCAAATACTGTACAAATTATACCTATGTTCTTCTAAATTAATTTCCCGGCTAAAGTGTTTTAGAGAATAAAAGCCTAATTTATAAGATTCTTTTTTTGAGACCGAGATAAAGTTGATAACATTACTACAAGAAGTAATTCTCTTCCCTACCTTTAAAAAAAACTCTATTAAAAGATTTACGATATTTAAAAAACATCTTATCTTGCAATAATTAAATGTTTCTTTTAGTTTCATCCATAGAGTATTTATAAGCAAGCTATAAAATAGATCATTAATAGCTTGCTTATAAATACCCTAAGGTTTCATTCAATGTTGCCCTACTTACATGCAAAGCTACATCGTAAGCAGTATTCAGAATAATCTCTGCGCGTCTACTACCCGATATAAAAGCGAACGGATTCCCAACTTCCCCACAGTCCGGCCCGGTGCGTTGCCTTGCGAACTCGCCAAGCCACACTGGATCTTATATTCTACGCATTAAAGAATATATTCAGGACAAAATGGTGAGTCACGTCTATCTTTTTTATACAGCTTGTATTGTTAAAAAGCATCATGGAGCTTCTGTTTCGTCGCGATAAGTTAAATATTGTTTTTAAATCGTGGAAAATATTATCATTTTTTTAATTGGGTTTTTTTTGCCATTGATGACATAAATTAAGAGATGAACTATGTTGTTACAACTTATAAAAAAAACACTTTCTCACCAATCGAAAATAAAAAAAAATATTAATCATCTGTCATATCTTAAATCATTTATTGATTCCACAACTGTATCCTAGATTATTGATATTAGAAATATTACAAAATAAAATTTAAACAGACCATATTTCTTACCTAAGCACGATTCTAATAATGTTACTGACTTTTTTTCATGACACGTGTACGTTGCCTACAGAATGTATCATTTTCATACAATATTTTATAAAAATTAAAAATATTATTTTATTTTAAACAGTTAAAACAAAAAAAGTATTAAAATTAATGTTTATAATCTTTTCTAATTACTTTCAGAATACAAAAATCGAATTATTTTCTTAAGAAGAGTTGATTGTTTTTAAAGAACATTAATGATTAATGATCTGGTAAAAATAATAGTAATAAATATCGAATATTGTAGTAGAATTGACCCACATCAGCTACAACCCGAATACTTTTAAATCAAAACAGTAGATATCTAATGACTTTAAAGGGTTAGTTAGTTTTACGTGGCAGAACCATGCTGCAGCTGAACATATAGTTGTAGCACGAATGGGTCGGCTCGACCGGGGAAGGACCACGCTCTCACAAGAGTACCAGCGTAAAATAGCAGCTTAATGCTACTGTGTTTGGTATGGTGAGTGTAGATATTTGGAGAACGAGAAACGAGGCATTCCATCTTAGTCCTCAGGGGTGACAACGCATCTGCATTTTGATTCTTTATCGATGACAAATGTAGATGTCCATGGGCGGTGGACTGTGTGCTCGTTGGTTATTCTTATACTACTAAAGAAGTTTCTTTATAGTTAGTCACACACTGTCTAAAATAAATAACTTAATATCAGATAGGCCTGGTCGTTTCTGTGATAGCGCAAAGGAAGAAAAAAGGGGAAGAAGTATTTAACACTTGTCACGGAGTGTGGTAACGTTTTAACTTTTCAACCCCTTTCATACGGGTGCTATAAAACACAACAAATCTGAGCAAAAAGAAGGAGAATTCATTCAAGTCCAACGCTTTTAAAGTTTTTATATGCCAGGTTTTTACGTGCTATATTTCATTTTTTTTTGTATGTTGTAATTTATATTTTTATAATTCAGAAAAAAATACATAAATTGTACTTTCAATAGGAAATACAAGCTGACTCCAATGAAATAAAAACAACAACAAAAAAATAAGTTCTGTGGTTACATTTATTATTATTTCAACACATTTATTATTTCACCATTAGGATAATTTTTTTGGGACCTTTGAAAAATAACCAATTTAATGAGAAAATAATCATTAAACTCGGTTTACAATCGCGTAACAGACAAAAAAATTGTTCAGTCGAATTGTTAACCTCGTACTTTTTTAAGTCTGAAAAAAATCTTCAGAGCTTGAAGTCTCTGAACCTTAATAGAAAAAGCTAATTTTTAAAGGAAATTACGAATTAAGCCTGTAAATTGTTGGTTTTATTACAATTAGAAAACAGTTGAGATGTTTAATTACATATATGTAACTTTGTAAAAAGATTTATTTGTTGTACAAAAGTCTAGAAATATTTATTTTATTTAACATTAACTGCTTAACGAGAGCTAAATATTGATTAGAAATAAATAAACAGAAAAGATTAGGTACACACCTACCACAGAACGGGAAATTCCTTTAATATTTATACATTTATGTTTTAACGTAGGTTAATCATGAACTTATATAATAAGTCTTATGTCAAAGAGAATAAGAAACACACACAAAAAACTGCAGACTTCACAGAATCGACACTCCGAGAAATCTGCAGTCTGTGAACACGGACAGGATTGCCCCCATCACTACATCATAGACCTTGTGGTCTCCTCGCTAAAGGACACCGATTCCTTTGAATCGCGAGGCTGTTTAAATTATAAAACATTTTTCAAATTAACAAAATGAAATCGTAACCCAAGCATACAACTGCAAGACTTCAAGATACTATAAGTTCATACATACTACTATAGACTGGACCAAAAATTAATATTGAACCAAATTTTATATGACGTGGCACACATGTGGCTGTTGGTACGGTGGCCTTAGGAGCCGAATCCTCAGCTATAGCCGGTTCATTCGATGAGGGAATAGCCTCATGCCGTAGTCGTTCGAGTTCGGCATCATCAAATATTTTCGAGCGCATGATGTACCGAACTCGTTCTGCCAGGTTTTGTTCTGTGACGGGAACAGACGGCTTCAGCTCAGCAAAAAAGCGATGCATCCGAGCCCGATACCCTATCCCTCCAGTTTCTACCCATTTCGCCCTATAGTACGCCCGCAATGCGTATGTGTTCATATTTTTTATCCAAAGTATGCACTCCTAAATGAAACACGTACAGGATCGCCGCCGTCACAACATCAGATTTGATAGACCACAAATCCTCGCTAAAGAACACCGATTCCTTCCAGGGATGCTATTGACATCAAATAAATATCCTAATTTCTATAGGGAAGATGGTTGGGTGCTACTATCTGGGATTCTATAACTAATATAATTAAATCCCAACCCAAGCATACAGACTTGAAGTTACTATAAACTCATTGTGCTTCGATTGGAGCGAAAATTAATAATTGAAAATTAAATACATTGGGACGTCGAACTCCTCAGTCCCTCCCGTGACCATGGGTGCTGCAATGTGTTCGAAACGTCGGGAATCTAAAGTAAGTTAATAAACGCCATAAAATCCGTAAAAAGTAGTTTTAAAATGTGTAGTGTTGGCGTAAACATAAGCAATCGTTACATTTTAAGTGTTGTTCCGTAGACAGTCGTTAACATCCTATTTAAAAGTTTTTCTGTTTACTACCAATTCCAAATCTTAAGCCGCATGAAATGATCTTATATAGTGCAGCGAGTAATTAAAAACGATGAATCATCAAGTAGTTGTCGAAGCTGATCGAAGAATCTAAGTTAGTTCTCAACGATTTAAAAAATGATTTTGGAAACATAAATACCTACTTCTAACTAAATCTATGTAAATTTGAGGACGTAACAGATGAATAAACGAGATATGTGGATTTTGTAATACCAACTGTTTCTGTGGAGGACAGCCATGCATTAATCGTTGTAATATTTGACAAAGTAATGACGCAAAATATTTTTATTTTATTTTGTTACTTAGTCAATCATCAATGTAAGTAAATGGAATAGTTATTCTTTTTCCTTCCCTCGTTTTTTATAGAATAAGGATGAGAAACGAGCACACAGTCCACCTGATTGTAAGTAAAGGCCCATAAGCATCTACACCAATCCTCAATTAAGAATCAAAATGCAGAAGCGTTGTCACCCCTGAGGAGTGAAACAGATTGCCTTGTTTCCAGTGAAAAGGGTCTCCGGTTCTGACGGATAATAGGCCGGCCTCGGAAAAATGTTGAAAATAAGTAACTCAGCCAACAATGCTTAAATAACAGTCAGTCGTTAAAACTTTTTAATGATGGCCGAAGCTCAAATAATTTAAAAAAAAAAACATCAGTCTTCAAAATTATTTCAAAATAAAATAAATTGTAAAGTTTCTACCATCAATTCAGCACACCGACACATCCTTAACTGCTACTAAATAGAAGTAGATAAAGTGAACCGATTTCGATAATTCTTTTTTATTTGAAAGCTGATGATTCACATATTATGGTCCCATATAAATTTGATCAAGGTTTGACCAATATTTTTTGAGTTATTTTTATTAATTTATATAGAAGTCGGTTCTACAAAATTTTTAATTTTAAGTTATTTGGTCTTTTTTTTTAAAAAAACGTTACCTCCATACTAGGATTTTCTCATGTATCGTGGGGGCTTACATACATAAATTTTGGAGTTATCCTTAATAACTTATATTGAAGTAGGTTGTACAAAATTTCTAATTTTATAATTTGTCATTAAATTTTTTTTCTACTCTAATCATGTTTTAAAGGGTCGTTTGAAATGCAAATTAAAATTCAGGCCAGGTGTGTGCTTTGGGTACGACAATCTGAGCGTGCATCGATTCAGCATATGCAATGAGGGTGTACCGCGTTAAAGCATTGTTCCAGCCAGCATTAGCATGGGCTCCATTACCGCGCCGTGCATGTCATTGTATTTATCAACTAATTACACTTTATAACGACACGATGGCACTTAAACTTAAATAAATTGGATTACTTCTAAGAATGAATATTATAAATGGCTGCTTACTTTGCATATAATGTAAGATAAGTGATAAGAAAGTAACTATCACAGAACACCAGCGTAAAATAGCAGCTTAACACTGCTGTGTTTTGTATGGTGAGTGTAGAGAACCGGAGACCCTTTTTACTGGAAACGAGGCGTTCCATCTTAGTCCTCACGGGTGACAACGCATCTGCATTTGATTCTTTATTGAGGATAGATGTGGATGTCTATGGGTCACAGTAACCACTTACCATCAGGTAAACTGTGTGCTCGTTTGTCACCCTATCTTATATTTTAAAAAAATCAAGGCCTATAGAAAGAGCCCTAAGATTACGCTGTAAAAGACAAAAAGATGAACAGCACTAACATCTCGGAGAGTAACGTAATATTTAAGGATTGCTTTTTAATATCAGCCTACAAAGTCCACTGCTGAACATAGGCATCCCCAATAGAATGCTTCATAAGGATAAATATACATATATCATGGCGGGCTGGTAACTGCAATTTTTTTTTAGTTCTTATTAGCAAGACGCTGCGGCCCATCCCCTGGTTTGTTTCCCTGTGTCGTCTCTTACGGCACATACGGGACGATATGGGGTAGTGGATATTCCTACACCATCACTACACAGTTAAAGATTTTAATAAGAATCTTTAAAAAGAAG